GCCATGGGGTGGCTAGGACCTGGAACCAACTTCCAAGGGAAGTGGTGCTGGCTCCTACCCTGGGGGTCTTTAAGAAGCGGCTTGATGCCTACCTGGCTGGGGTCATTTGAGCCCAGTTTTCTTCCTGCCCAGGCAGGGGGTCGGACCTGAAAATCTGCAAGGTCCCTTCCGACCCTACTCCTATGATTCTATGATATTTCTTTCTATGGTTTTGGAAACCTTTTTTGCAGCAAACATTTTTTTTTTTCCCATCAAGATTCAAGTGGATTTTCTTGAAACACATGCCATGCCTTCTAACTCTGGATCCTGCTGCTGCTGCTGAGTTCCAAAAAACCTAGTCATCTTTACAGGAAACCAGCATCTGGAATTTCATGGTTAAAAATGATCCCAGAGCTGCAAAACTGTAGATAAATGTTGTAAGTACCAAGACACAGAGAAAAAGAAATTGCCATACATTCATTTAAAGTTAGTGAGAAAAAAAATATAAGAGGTGCTAAGGTGATATAAAACATGAGGATTATCAGCTGCAGAAACCAAACAATTACAGAGAATACACAAACCTTTGCTTGTGTGATCTTATGCTTCTTCATACAAGTGCCTTCACTGAAATCAATGTGTTACATATAAACACACTATTTTGTTATAACTTTAAAAATTATTTTTCATTCAATAATGAAATATGCTTTCTATTAAAAACTATATTTTCCATTACTATTTGATATAACTGGCAGACAACCTAATATCTCTGAAAAATTCACAAAGTTGAGATTAGATTCTGAACCGTAACAACTGCCAACAGTGCAAAATATGCTTTCCCCGACTCAAAGCTTATAACCACAGATTGATTTTTTTAAATGTGCTTCATCATAGATAGCAGTCTGTTTTACTAATCTTCTACAAATATAGCCTTAATGTATGAAAAAAAACTGTAAAATAGAAACAATCCATGCACTTCAACTATAAACACCAGCAATAGACTATCAAATGAATTCTCAAAATTTCTTTTCGATTGCTAACTTGAGCAAGTGCCTTCCTCCCCCCTTTCACAACTAATCAACTAAACTTTTTCTTTCTTTCTTAGGGATTCAAAATGTCTGATATTTCCTCTCTGTACTTAATACTAACAATGTATATATAATATTCAAAGTAATGTTAAACATTAATAAGCATGCAGAAAACTACAGAAATTTAGCTCGACTTTTCTCATTTTGTTTTCTGCTTTTCTTAAAACAAGTCTTCAAGAGAAGGCATTCATTCTTTAGTTGTTTTTGTAGGATTCTTCCTTCAATAATTCAGTCTGATAAATTATAATCACCATTATCAATGTATCTTACTGAATATCAAAACATTGTAGATAAGTAACTAATTTAGAACAGTCAAGAGCAGCAAAAGTATGAACATGGACAGATTGTATTTTGCTATTTTTCCTGTCATTCTGATTCTTTTGCAGATGTTCAGTACTGCTAAAAACAATTTCATGATCCTCAGTAATAATTCCAGAAACAGGAGTATAAGCATTTTGTGACTGCATGATATTGTTTGAGGGGTTCTGTGCCCCAGTTAAGTGAATCAATTATGCTTATTTTTAAATTTTAAACAGGTAAGTAATCCCACCTGAAGTAAATAAGGCTATTTATATGCTTGAAGCAGACCAAACAGAACTGAAATTCTGCATTAAGAAAACACTATTAAACTAAAACTGTAGTAGTCATAGTCAGCTCAAAACCTGACAACTACTACAAGTTTGCAAAGTATGAAATAAAGTAAAATCCCTGCCTGGAACAGGGTGGTCTGGCCCTTTAAGGGAGGCAGCCAGCTCTAGGGTAGAAGCCCAGCTGTGAGAGACTACTGGCAGTTTAAAGCCCAAGATGGAGAGAGAACAGGGAGCTTGAGTTAGAGGAAGGAAGCAGACTTCAACACAGAAGAGTTTTCCTCTAGAAAGGGCCAGAGCTAAAGGGCCCTCTTCTGCCACCAGAAGAAAGGCTGAAGATTTGTTTTACCCATTTATTTGTCTGCTTGGACGAAGGATTATTTTATTGTTTTGTTATCAGAAATGGCTGAAGGGCTTCCAAGGGAGCACAGCCAGATAGCAAGGCTGTGGACACTGAAGCTCACTCGTGAACTATCCTTTGGACTATCTAAAAGGCTCCTAAGGGGGTAAAGCCCACTTGCATAGCTGTAGACACATCAACTCGCTTACAGTACCCCAAAGACTACATGTATAGACCTACAGCTTTGTACTTGTATGGGCACATATAAAAAAATGAAAGCTCAAAGATGAAATATGATGTAATGTAGGCCTGTGTGAATAGGGAAGTATTTGATTAGGATTTGGCTGATTTGGATGACACTGATTTGATTTGGAGATTCGGATCACTGTCCTGAATGGATTTGGCTAAATCAGCTTCAAAGTTTTGGCACCTATTTGGAGAGATTCAGCAATTCAGATTGACTGGGGAAAGGCAGGCACAGCCAGGCTGCTCTTCCACCTGTGCCTGCCTCTCCCCAGGTGAGGGAAGCTGTGAGAGAAGCATCCATGGCTGCCCTGCCCAGGCCCATCCCCCACCCGGCCCCAGCCTAGTGCCAGCATATAAAAAAGCCCCACACTCACCAGATGCAGCAGCAATGATTCAGGCCTCTGGGTGCTCATGGCAGAGCCCCCCAACACAGCTCCCACTCCCCGATTGCACCCCACCACACGCCCAGCCCCAGCAGTCTGGGAATCAAACAAACCCGCACTCACTGGCAGTAGCAGCAGCTATGGGCGCTCTGGGGCCACATGGCAGAACCCCCCCACACACACACACACAGCCCCTGCTCCCCAATATTCTCCTCACCTGCCCAGCCCCACCCTGATGGCTGCCTTACCCAGACCCAGCCTCCAGCAATTAAAAGAAAAAAAAGCCCCGTACTCACCGGCTCTGGCAGCAGTGATTGGGACCTCTGGGCACTCGTGGCAAAGGCCCCCTGTGCAGCACAGGGTAGTGGGGATCGCCCCCCTGCCTGACACCAACATGGCAGCTGCCCCATGGCATGGGTGCAGCTCAGCTTGGCAGGGTGCTGAGCACTGCCTGGGAACTGGGACTGCTTGGGCTGAGCAGTGCCCAGCCCCTGCTGACTGCTGGAGCCTCCCCAGCTCCCAGACAGAATGCAGTGCCCTGCCACGCCACGCTGTACCTTTATCATGGGGCAGCTGCTGTGCAGGTGCCAGGTAGGGGGGGGCAATCCCCGCTGCCCTCCGCTGCCCCATGCTATGCAGGGGGGCTCTGCCAAAAGCCCTCAGAGGCCCCAATTGCCAATGCTGCAGCCACCAAATGCAGGGTTTTTGGTTTTTTTGTTTTGTTTTTTTTTTTAAAGCTGGGGCTGGGTGGGGAATGGAGCCAGGCAGGGCAGCCATGGGGGCTTCTCCCACGGCTCCTCTGGCTGTGCCTGACTCTGCCCCAGCAGGGGGAGCCACGGGGGCTATGCCCTGCTGCTACTTGCCCAGCCGGCATATGCGATGGCGGCACACCGCTCGCTCCGGGCGCCAGAAAGGCATACCCCCCAAACCAGTGCTGCCGCACCCCCATCAGCACTGGGAGTGTGGGCTCTGCCCTGACACTGCTTGCGAACCAGCATAGGGGGTGTGGGATGCAGGTGCGGCAGG